GAACAAATGTTTCTTAGTAGGGTGCATTTTCTAATAAAGGATCAAAGGATGCCCATGGTATTCTATTATCAAACTTTCACTACATCAGGATCGTGGCGTTAGTTATCAATTAGCTTAATGGGACGTGTTAAATTATTACATAATAATTTGAACTCTTGACAGTCGCTTATCTTTGAAATTAAGAAAATCGACATTATCTAAACAATGTAAAGTTCTTTCTATATATTTACCCATGTAGATGGGTGTTTAGATAATAAATAATATAAATGTACATGCATGATACTATATATATATATATATATCATACACTTTTTCTCTTACTTTTATTTATTTTTGCACCCTGTATTAATAAACTATAAGGAAATATGTCTACCTAGCTGAAAAAGCTTACAAGAAAGGCGATGTAAAAACAAATAAATTATATTCTAATATATGAGTTAACCATTTGTTGGCAGCAAATACATTTTATAATGTCATAACGTATTCTACAGTATACAGGTTTAGACAAGGAAAACATGTTTTTGTATTGATCCTTTATAGAATTAAAAAAAAACGCATAATAGTTTTTTATTGTTTGTTTATATTTTACTATTTTTCGAAACATATTTCATCAGAGATATGAACCTGAATAATAAAATCATGAATAAATCCTTACTGAACCGTTTTGTGTTTGCATACATGTACATTCTTGTGATGACAGGTAAGAGATGTACTACGAATCAGATGTGGATACAAAAATATTCCATAGATTTTTTAGTGTACATTTTTTCTGTTGCAATCCAATAAATTTTTTTTACTTTTTTACACAAGTATTCCCATTTTAAACTTCCAACACAAATTGAAAGAATTTTTCCAATTTTGCTAAGCCAACGAAGATACAGATATCTTGTTTTAGGGAGGGCAAAATCATACTTGATAAACGACCCCAAGGGTTGACCGTGATTTAGAAATATTGTCCTCCTTGGACTTCTATCGTTCCGGCAGTAAAATTCTTGCTCCAGTCGGGGGCTTCCATTTGGCTGTTTGGGATACATAAGTATAGGTAGTCGTGCCCTTCCTGAACACACATGAACTATTTGCCACTGAACATTAAGCAATAAACAATAAATGCAGTTGGTGACTTCCTCGAACGCATCGACCTATCGCATAAAACTCGAAACAAAGAATACCACAGTTAAGTTTGTCTCTCATCTTGACTTATACATCTAGAAATTGACCATGATGGTCGATTTCAAACAAAACTTGACATAAAAAAGATGATTCCAACTACCTTATTTTTAATTTCTATGCAACAGTATCCCAGCAGCTCTCGTGAATAGCTTCCTTTAGATACGATATTTCAGAGCGTGTATGTCCTATCATGATTTCTTGGATAGATTTATTGCTGTTTATTAACGTCCAGTAGCAAACGTTTCATGCATGTTCAAGACGAGACAAATAAAAAATGAATACCGTGAATAGTTAGGTCCTGGGGGTCGACCGGGATGACGCTGGAAATTTGGAATGTCAATTGAAAATGTTGGTATATGGAAAAAGGGACAGAAATTAAGCCTTGCAACTGGCCAACGCCCGTCCTCTCACAGATTTGTTGCAAGATTTCATACCATGAAAAGAGCACCGGCATCGGAATTACGTTCTCATTCTGACCGGACGTGGTTGCCAATTTATACATCCCACACAGCCCAACGGACGCCTTTATTTTGGATACGGTTTTCTGCCATCGAAAGAAGACCAAGGGGTGATCACGTTTCTAGACCCCTGTCAACCCATGGATCTTCTTGATAATTAAAAGGAAGCTATTAACCCATGGGTTTCACGTGATATAGTTACAGTTATCCTTTCGAAAAAGTTACGGACGCCATCACGTGTTGGTTACAGTTCAGTAATATATGTGTCACAGATTACCACCGCTATGTTCATTAGAGTATTGTCTTGATCACAACTCGTCCTGTTTTCCTCTAATGTTACATCACGGAATGAGACTTTTTATCGAATGTGTTCATAAATGAACAACACGACGGGTGTCATATGTGAAGCATGATTTGCTTATCCTTTAAGATTCGGAACAGTTTTAGTTCATTTTTTTGAAGCGTATCGATAACTTTTATACGTATTGTTAGTTGAAGTTTATGTGAATTTATGGTACAAAATCGTTTCTGTCGATAAAAATTGCAAAACTGTTGATGGGTCATGATAATGTTGGCTTGTCGGGGCCTTTTATTGCCGACTATGGGTTTTTCTCATTGTTGAAGGACGTACGGTTGCCTATAATTGTTTAAACCCACTTCATATGAACTTTAATCGATAGTAGTGTCATTGATAAGCATACCACATCTCCTTAATTTTATATTGTGTTCATCGTTAAGTTAATAAATTTTCTTGGAGAATATGTTTTGATGACAATTATGATTTGTATCCTTCATTCTCCGTCCGAATACTTTCCTAGCAACATAAAAAGAAGCAAGGGCATGCAATAAAGAACAAGGCAGAAAAAAACTATTTTAATATACGGCAGAGAGGTCACGTTTACATTGCTGGCATCTTTTCCTGAATAAGTAAAACAATATTAATGTCTTTATATTTCAAGCATTATATGTGCTATATTGCAAATGGATGGTATTTTTGTTCGAGCATATTATTTTTCTTTAATTGATTAACATTTATTACCGATATAATATGTTACTTTTATTATTCTTCCCTTAGTTTATTTATTTTGTATTTACATTGTGTCATAGGTCAAATTTATTTGTTCAGTGTATGTTCAATGGTGTTAATATGTCCTTTGATTGAGTTAAGCTATTTCAGTTGATATTTTATAGTGTGTCTTTTTATGTTGTGATGTTACACTATTGTTTCAGAAAAAGGGTGAAGGTTTGGTACCATTAAAACGTTTAAACCCGCTGCATTTGTTTGCACCTGTCCTAAGTCAGGAATCTGATGTTCAGTAGTTGTCGTTTGTTGATGTGGTTCATAAGTGTTTCTCGTTTCTCGTTTTTTATATAGATTAGACCGTTGGTTTTCCCGTTTGAATGGTTTTACACTAGTAATTTTTTTGGAGCCCTTTATAGCTTACTGTTCGGTGTGAGCCAAGGCTCCGTGTTGAAGACCGTACTGTGACCTATAATGGTTTACTTTTATAAATTTTTACTTGGATGGAGAGTTGTCTCATTGGCACTCATACCACATCTTCTTATATCTAGCTCATACTATAAGTTATATGGTTTGATACTGACCTTCTAGTCCCCCTTTACGGATTCATCCCCCTATTGAATTTTACAAATACTTTCTGGATCCGTAGGGGGTCAGTACCCATGATGCTGGCAGATCTGCATAATACCAATAATTTAATTGATGAAGAATTTTAATATGAATATATTGATACATATATAAATATTTTTTTTATTTGATAATATAAAAGTAATGCATCTTAGGATGACCATCAATGGCTTTAACTGCAGAAACACTAAAATAGTGACGGCCCATATTAGGCTATATGGGATGTGTGGTTTATAGGCGTTTTATATTAACAAAAAGAGAAAATATCAGCCTATCAAAAGCTGTTAATAAACGTAATTTTAAACTTCGGTGGAGATCACATGTTCATTTGATATTCCGTGCATCCGAGTGGTGGGATTAAATCTTTCACCTAAATATCGAAGAACTATAGATATGGGGTTTTTTAAAAGACATTATTGGATATCTTTTTGGCAGCTGTATATGTATAAAAAGGGGGGTTTAACTGAAAAAGGTCTGATACTGCATATATTTAAATAGGTTTTTATTTGCAATTCGGCAGTATTCAAGTGTTTTATAAGTCAGGTTCAAGAATGTAATTTGAATTAAGATGTCGGATAGGAGAAGTTAAAGTACATTGTTTATCAGGGGCGGATTCACAAGGCGCGCGCCTCCTAGCGACAGAAAAAAAATGTAATTTATAGGTGAAATTACAGCCAATTTTTTTTGTTAAAGTTTTGTCCTCCTACTCTCATTCTCAGGGGCACCCAACTCCCCCTTTACATCAAATCCTGGATCTGAGCCTGTTTATTGTGCTTATTTGTGAACCTAAACATCTATATATATCTGAAAGACACTGGAAGCTTGAGATTGAATTAATATTTTTTTCTGATTTCTGTCCATTGATAAGTGTTAATAATGTTAAGTGTTCAAAGGAATTATCACAAATTAACACAAATGCCGTATTGAATGGCAATGAATCCGCAGTCAAACCACTTGAGGTAGGCAGTTTGACATCCGAATTCAACTAACATTAGATTTGAACCTAGAATAAATATACGTGATGACGCAAATGCATGATATTTTTTTCCAGAATATCAGTGTGAGTGCATACCATTTACTATTTCTTGCGCAAGAAAAGTACGTGCATGCATAAACATTGATTTCACTCGTCGAAGGTGATTTTTTTTTGCATTTCTTATCTATGTTGTGTTTTGTGTACTATTGTTTGTCTAGATCTGTTGGTCTTTTTCGTCCGTTTTGCAGAAATTGAGAATTGGAATAGGATTAGGTCTTTGTATATAAAACACGGAGAAATAATGATGTACACTCCCAAGTAATAAATAAAATAGTCAAGCCTTAAAAGGTAGTTTTAAATGGTAATTGTATACAATTTTCTATTTACAACTAAAATCCAGCAATGATTTTAATTGACTTGTGCACGAATCTACACACAATAACAATTAAGGTAATTTAATTTTTTTTATTACCTCATTCTATCAACTGTCATTTATTTCAAATCAAAAGCAAAAATAAATTCAGCAAAAAATATTTGGTGACCAGTCAGTGGTATCGGGTTCACGTGTTGCTTTTTTTATTTTAAAGAAAGCAACTTGTTTAAATCTGATAGGTAGTTTTTCGTGATGTTTTTTCTGATACATATATACGTGTCTATGGAAGATGAAAGAAAGCCTTCATCGACGTTACTATTCATCTGGCGAAGATGAATACAGCAGCAAAAGTCAGAAAGAGGAAACAACAACCAGTGATAATATGGCAGGAGCATGTGGCGGGCCAGAGGATATACCCGATGAGTCCTTGAGTGTTTTGGAATGCAGTAGAGTAACAGTCAGTCGTTCTAGTACACCGTCAATTCGAAGTTATTCTAATACCCCAACCAATTTGGCAAGTACACTATGTTCCAGCAGGACAATCATTCCGACTTTCCTTAGAACACCTTTATCTGGAGAAGTTCGTTCTAGAAGGTCAACTACTCCTGTCACAGAGGGTATATCAAGAAAAGAACAGACTACAGCATCAGCAAACAAGGTAAAACTTAAAAAAATCGATGAAAATTCCAACAATTAAGTGTTTCTTAAATGTAATATGTTATGATTTAATTTTGTCTATCTGTCTGCTTACAAAGGATACGTTTTTGTCAAATGTACATGGGGACAGGACACTTTTTTTTAGCCCGCCCCCTTTTTTCCTAAAATTTGTTATTTTTTGTTTTCTGTTCATTTCAATTATGTTCGCATTTTTTTTTTGTATTACATGAACATAAATATACTAGAAATAACTTGTATTTGCTATTATCTATCAATTCCAAGTTTACTTTAGAACTGATATAAAATTGCAAATACAAGTTATTTCTAGTATATTTATGTTCATATGAAATAGAAAAACGCGAGAAAAAAAAATGAAATTATAAGAAAACCAAAAAAATAACAAATTACAGAAAAAAGGGGGAGGTCTAAAACAAAAGTGTCCTGTTCCCAAGTACCAAGGGTTTTTGTTAGAACAGTGTTAGACAAGTGACAATCATAACACACATTGAAAAAAAAATTTAAAAACAAGATGTTTTTGTGTGTAAAAAACTTTTTCCTTTAAAGGTTCAAACATTTTTTTTCACATTTCCGGGACAAATATTCTTTCGTGTATCTTTTGTTTTCAGTACTAGCAATTTATAACGTCGTTTTCTTTAAAAGTGATGCCGCATTTATCATTAAAGCTGTATATATCAATACAATGACTGTCACATAATTGCTTTAGTAAATGTTTATTAAAGCTAAAATAACCGAATCAAAATAAAACTTTCGTAATCGTATACATTTGTATATCAAGGCGAGAATTGTTGCAAATGTAACTAATATTAGTTTTATGGCAGTTACCTCAGCTAATAGCTAGATGATGTGTCTGCACGTCTGCTTAAATAGAATTGTTTGCATAAAACGGCCAAAAGAAAACCAAAGGCGAATGTTTTGAAAATGAAATTGCACACAGCAAGACATTATTAACCAAATTGGATCTATTGTTTGTACCCAAAAGATACATAGCTTTAATACTCATTTTGTTTTTGGTTAACGATGTTCCTGTATATTTTTTTCCTAAGTTTTCATATCTTCATAGGTTTCAACCACTGCCTGATTTCGAAACCAACGGTGTGCAAAAATACAGGATAAAATGGTCATTAATTCGTTTTGCAACTAAATTCAAATTAACAATACTGATATTTGAAATCTTGACAAATCAATTATATATAGTGAATGAAAGTATATATTTATCTACTTCATTGATATAAGATGTGATGAAGCATTCCTGGTAATTGAATCTGCTCAGAAAATAATTCCCCACGAAGATAAAAAGAAACGAAATCTCTTTTACAACTTGTCCTGTACGCTTAGAAATAGTTTAATCTATCAGATTAAAGAAAAATGAAAGCGCCTCTGAGTCGGACAATTGACATATATATATATATAGATATACTTTGTCTTATATTATGGTGAAATACTGCGTCTATCAATTAATGAATAAATAAAAAAGCATTTAAGGTTTTGAATAATAAGTACTATAATGATTAATTATGGATAAGGAAAAATTATTTATTATGTCCTATCTAATCAGCATATCTTATATGATATTTTAATTTCACCAAAATTTTTAGGTACATATATATTCTGAATGACGGATTGATTTAATAGTCTTTTGGTTTTTTAAAAATGATGAACTTCATTGAGTTTTGTAATTCATGTATTTTAAATGGTTTAGTTGTAATTGTTATTTTTAGATTGACACTTTAACAAAGAAGTCATCTAAATGAAAAGGCAACTGGTAAAAGTGCAAGAAAAACAAATTAATGTTGAAAAGAAAGTGGATATTATGATTCAAATACTACAATCAAAAACAAATGAACGAAAAAAGCGAAGCCAAAAGATTAACGTCCCTGCACAAATTGCAGTAAGTAATTATTCATTGTTCAACTTTTAATTAACCTTTTCAAAATATTGCATAATGTACATGTAGTAGGGGATAGTTTATACAATTTTCATTTTTATGTATTGTATCATAACAATAATCATTAAGTTTGCGAACCTAAAAATTCAATACTTAGCAAAATGTCATTTATTTCCTTTTTTCACGGATTACAATTTTTTTTTCGGACTATGTACTAAACATTTTGTGTTTTAATTGTATAAATATGGCAAAATTTTACACACTTTGATTACATGTTGTCGTGTTTTAATTAGAACGTAATGAAGTCGTGAAGTTAAGAATGTACATGTATATATATTTTATGTTTGCGACTTTCTACACATATAATTATATTATTTCAGTTCTCAGTTGTTCTTGATGCATGCAATTTAAATGCTTAAGAGCGTATCTTTTTCCTTTCAGCAATCAAGAAGGGATGGTTATCAGCAGGGTATTACTGAAAAGGATTTCATCTGGATAATAAAGAACGAAACTGGCAGTATTTTAAAGTATGTATATGAAATTAAATGATTTAAAAGTTTCCTTGGAAATTGAAAAAATCTCATGGTTTGTTATTCAAACCAATGTAATTTAATATGTAATGTATGTCCACATTCATCATTAAACGATACGGTTTTAGGAAACATGCTCGATTACTTGTGATTTACGACATTGAAACAGATTTAATTTTGATCATATATCTACTTTGAATCATTAATTATGAAATTCTACTTATTCGAGTATAAATCTTAATTTTGTACACAGCTTTTGGGTCAATTTAAGTGAAAAGTTTGCAGGATATATATGTGTATTTGGTAATCATGGTTCTATTCAGATTCAAACAAATTGATAATTTTCCCGACATTTGTTACACTCTTATTTAAGGAAGCTTTGATTTACAGTAAGATTATATTTCAAATTACTTTTTTTCAGATATAATTCTGCAGAGAACAAAGAGAAGTCTGGATTCATCATAGAATTTGTAAAAGGCCCAATATCCTGATGAAGTGGAGGGTGTTGTTAGAGGTTTGTAGCCCCAGCCCCCCCCCCCCCCCCCCCCCCCCCCCCATACCCCAAACCCCAACCCCAAACCCCAAAAACAAAATAGTCGAAATTGCAGTTCTGCAATACAATTGCTTAGCCTAGAAGGCATCTTTAACTGTCATATTAAGAATGACATCTAAAAAGTTAAAAGTAGTCAAATTCAGTTGATACTTTTTTTATTTTGGAAAAGAGTGTTACGTTACTGAATAAATCCTAGCTTATGTTAACATTACATTGATACTGTCGGCTTTTTTTTACAAGAGGGTATTTTTGTTGTGCTGTTTTAGGGAGCAACCATTTAACTTTAAGGGGGGAAGGGGGTATGGTTTTTTGTCTGAGTCAGAATTTTTTTTTCGCCCAAAGCGCGAACACTTTTTTTTGCAAAATTTAACACTATAAGGTATGGGGGAAATCTGGTATCAGATTATTTTTTTAGGAAATAACCATACCCCCCCCCCCCCCCCCCCCCTTCTTTGAAATCACATGGTCGATCCCTTGTTGCTACACACCTGTATCTTACCTCTTTTTATTTCGAAACATGACGTTCCAAATTACCATTGAATTCACTTCATATGATTTCGGACCAAGTGTTGAAATGAGTAATCCCATTACCAGGGGCCTGTTTTTCGAAAGTATCTTATGACTAAGACATGTCTTATGATGGTCTTAGGACATGTCTTAGTCGTAAGATATGTTTTCGTAAGTGTCCCAAGTTACGATATATCATAACTTTTGTCGTAAACTTAAGACACTAGCTCGCGACATGACTTATGATGGTCTTATGATTATCAACTAGAATTCTAATTACTTTTCATATATAATTTCATGTACAATGTACATTACAATAAAAATAATAGTTGTGTTGCTCAGTCTGCAAAATATTTAGATTTATTCTTCTCCATTTTGCATTCAAACTTTTTGAATCTCCTGCGACGTAAAATTTGGACTCCTTTTCTTACTCATGATTTTGAAAAATAAATATACATATTATTTCTTTCCTTATATATTACTTTATTTACGCATTTGCACGGGCATATAAGCAGACACTTTCAGTAATATTTTGAAACGCCATATAATTTCCATATTACAAATAAGTTTTATGTTAATGGATCACTTACTAGCAAATGCATACTATCATATAACTTTAATAGATCTATTTTGATTTCGATCATATCACATCAAAACATTCTACCATGGACTAACCAAGTGACACTGTTAAGTCTCAAATGGAGAAAAGCAATTGTATGTTAAAAAAATATTTCTTTTAAATTGCCTTAAGTAGATTTTTTTTTGTAGAAGGGATAAAGACAAATTTTGAATCGTTCAAAGCAAAGAAACGAAGAGACGAAACTGGTAAACAAGAAGAACATAACAAGAAAATGGCTGTGTACAGCAAGATGAGTAAGAACTGATTTTTTTATTATGGTGAACAATTCAGATATTACAGTCAACATAAGAAGCGAATTTAGACGGGAGTTTTATTTAATATTATATACTTATATCACTCTAAACAGGGAACCCCCTTTTAATTTCATTTTCTTTTTGCTTTTCACTAAATTCCTTTTGTGACGCTACAATAAAAAAAGGAAAAAGGTGACCATATCTAACGACGTCACACATATATATATACCTCATTTTGCAGATCAGTGAAAAAGTTTGTCTTCGTAACGTCTAAAAAACAAAATAGAAACAGAATCCAACACCGAATCTCGTGCAATATAATATTTCTCCACTCTCGACAATTGAATTTTCAATGCTCAAAAAGCTCGGCAGGCCTTCACTTGATGTAGCGGTAGAATTTCTCTCTCCTTCTCTCGCCGGCCGGGCTTTTCAAGAGAGAGAGAGAGAGAAATTAAATGCTAGGAATTGAGTGTTCTGTTGGAATATATTATATTCATAAATAATATACAGCATGCTTTCTGTCACAGTAATCACTAGTATTGTTTTTACAGACTGCCTTTTACTGAGGTTATAATAATAATAATAATAATAATAAGAAGAATAATAATAAAAATAATGATAATAATATCTTTATTGAAAGAGTGTTATTACGGCATATATGGAATCTATTTGTATGTATTCAAAATGAAATTCAAGGAATTTTGATTTGGGCTTTATTCTCTTTTTTTTTTAGAAATTAAACAACAGAAAAAGGCCCTAAAAGTAAAAGTCCAGTATACCAGAGGAACAAAAAGAAAAGGGCTCGAAAAGCAGTGGTGCAGAACATGTCTTATGAACAAACAGATTCATAAGACGAAGGATCGTTTATCGTCAGACCTCTGCCTTGGAGGTCTGACGATGTTGATAAATTAGTAAAAAAACTAGGCCAAAAACATGAATGTCAAACTAATCAAGAGAAGCAGACGGCAGCACCATAAACGAAAGGTTGGGGCAGTTTCCTCAAGGATAAAACCAGAAGTCGTGCCAGGACATGAATGGGTGTTTAAATAGTTTAAAAATAATGTCAATGATTAAACTTTATTCTTTTTAACGTTTTAAGTATGCAAGTTTTACCGACCAAAGTAAATGCTACATGTAACTGTTAATAATTTTTACACAATTATTTGTCCCAAACTAAAAAAACAAAAAATCTGATATATCGTTCTATTCTTATACTAACATATTTCAGTCATCACGAAATCAAATAGATGCGAACAGAAAAAGAAAAAATACATCTTCATGTCGGATGTCAACATACCGTCTTCAACAACAACAAGCGGTTCGAAGGAGAACGTTTTTAATAAAAAAATAGTAAAGAAAAGAGCTTCTTGAAACAAGAGTATTGTCGTAATGAGCAAAACTATTTAAAAAATAACACGAACAATGTACATTTCATTGGCAAAACAAAATATAATAATTCTTTTGATTTGTAACCTAGCATCACGGAAAATAAATGTTAAAAAAATATTTTTTAATAGAATCTTCATTTTTAGATGGAAAATCTTGTTTTTTTTTAATATGGAAGTGATACCGAGAAAATAAGCAGTGTATTATTTGCACATAGTAGTAAAAAAAAAAGAAGACAACATGGTAACTCTTCGAAATAGTAAGAAACTTGGTATATATTAAATTTCAATGTTTTAAATATTTCTTTTGTGCGTAATTATACAATATAAACAAGAAAAAGCTAGATAGCAGTAAATTTTATCTGGTACCCTGATGTAAGCAATCATACAATGCATGTATACAACAGTTGGTTTTACATTTAAAATCCTTGTTTTAGTGGTGAAGCTCTTCATTGTGTATTTTTTATATTATATTGATGTCCACGCGAGCATAATCAAATATATATTTTGAAATTAATTGCACTGATAAAACATATAGACATGTAACTGGGATCTTATAATATGTGAATCTTTTTTTTCTTCAATTGATTAAAAACAGTAAGCAATGAAAGGGAAACAACTCTTGTTAAAATAAGAATATTTTTCGTATCTTTAAAAATTTAAGAAATTTGTTGTTGTTTTTTAGCTTAAAGGTTTACACGTTTATAATTATTAACATTCTTATTAAAAATAAGTATTAAGATCTTGATTTTTTTTATTTTAATAAGAAAGGGGTTGTATATAATTGGGTGCTTGTTAAACCCTTCAAATTACGTTGGATTTTATTATTCAGCTCGAATCTTTGTATTCAAAGGGAAATAACTCTTTCTATTAAAATAGTTGTTAGTTGTAATTAGGTAAGACAATCAAAACAACCACAAGAAAAAGGATTCTGCAAATATGTTACTGCTTATTATATTTAAATACTCAGTCCTTTTACATCATGAAGTTGATATGTTTTTGTTCCTTAAAAACAGCTTTAGCAAAAACAAACAAAAATGCACAAAATTAGAGTTTTATAATTTTGTTATGTATGTAGGTGTTTTTTTTTAAATTATTATAGAACGGAATGTTAGTACTTTAATTTGTCATGTATTTGTAAATTCAAAATAATGAATAAATTTAGCTAAGATTCTAGATAATTGTTTTTTTTTTTATTCAGGATTTCGCCATAGTCTAGATCTCCATTACGGGCAGCTTTTTTTTATGAATTTTCAGTTGCTCCTCTCACTGTAATATTTTATATTTTGAGGCAATCATGAGTGTTTAATTCGAATTATGGGTTGTGGCAACTTAGGGTGTACAATTATGGCTTTGTTTGTTATACTGAAGTATGTTTGTATAAACAAATATATCCTGCATTATAATAGGGTTCGATTGTAAGAACTGTTACTGGTCATATGTGGATGAAAGCTGCAAATATATACTGTTTTCTGTCGTGAATTTGCAGGTCAATTGGCGTATATTTGGTGCACCAAACACGGAGATTACAAAGATTTTCAATAGTAAATGGAGTCAAAATGAGTTTAAATTTGAAGTAAATCAAGTTATTTCACACATTAAATCTTTAAACTTGAAGTTGAATTTGATTTCAATTTGCATTAAATGAAAGTTTATCGTTGTATTAAATTTGTAACTCGATGTTGAATCAGATTTAAAACCACAGTAAACAGCTTACTGTTTGGAATATTATTGACTTTAATTTGTAGTTAATCATGTTATACAGATTTTCTCTACATTAAATTTGATGTTGTATGTATATTAAACTTTGTTAAATTCGAAAATTACTGGACAGTAAATCAGGTGTCAATTCATGAACTTACTGCGTCCAGTAAACTATTTGTAAACTACTATTAAACATTGCGTTGACTTGAACTATAAACTACCAGAAAAAAAATAAACTCGGAAATTACGACTGATTTTCAAATAGTTTATTGATACCTTAAATTAATACTTTCATGCAGTGTAAGATATACATTATAAAGTTCAAATATAGACAGTTTTGGTTGATACTGACAAATAATTTTGTCATACGAGTCAGTTTGAGGCAAGAAAACTACTGAAATTTGTTTACAATTCAATATTTTGAATAAAAAGAGGACAGGCTGGCACTCTAAATTGATGCGAACAAAATTTTGTAGTCATAGTGATCATATATTGCTGTCATTTGTATTATACAGTCCATCCAGAAATTAAAAAAATATAACTGATTTAATATGGGACTTCATGTATAAGATTTACATTATAAAGTGTAAATATGGTCAGTTTTGGTTGATGCGGACAAATAATTTTGTTATACGAGTTAGTCTGAAGCATGAAAACTACTGAAATTTGTTTACGATTCAATATTTTGAATAAAAAGAAGACATGCTGGCACTCTTAATTGATGCTAACAAAGTTTTGTAGTCATTGTGGTCATATATTGCTGACATTTGTATTATACAGTCCATCCTGACATAAAAATATGACTAATTTACTATGAGACTTTAAGAATTACATTATAAATGTAAATATGGTCAGTTTTGGTTGATGCAGACAAATAATTTTGTTATTCTAGTCAGTCTGAGGCATGAAAACTACTGAAATTTTTTTGCAATTCAATACATGTATTTTGAAGAAAAAGAGGACATGCTGGCACTCTTAATTGATGCGAACGAAATTTTGTAATCATTGTGTTCCAAAATTGCCATCCTTTGTATAATACAATCCATCCTGACATAAAAATATTACTTTTTTACTATGCGACTATAAGATATACATTATAAAATGCAAATATGATCAGTTTTGGTTGATGCTGAGAAATAATTTTGTTATATGAGTCAGTCACAGGTATGAAAACACCGAAATTTGTTTACAATTCAATATTTTAAATAAAAAGAGGACATGCTGGCACTCTTAAGGATGTACACCTCTGAAGAGCCAAAAATTACTAGAATTAAACTTTTGTTCTTAACCTGATTTTTGGGATTATATGACTGTAAAAAAAAATTGGTGAAGAAAAAATGATATGATGGTGCACTTCCTTTTTTGCTACGGCCCTTTAAAAGTACCCAATTTTGATGATTTTCCCATTTTTCATCAGTTTTTGCCCATTTTTGGGCTATTATCGTGAAAAAAATCACAGTTCTACAATTACACTTTTTTTCATACTTTCAATAACGATGAATAAGACCAATCTATATAAATTTAACTTAAAAAAAACTATAGGTAGGTGTTAATATAAGAAAGTTTTATCATATTTTGATGCTTTTTCGTGTCAAATTTACCATGCTGTCAATTTTTGTAAATTTATGATTTTTCTCTGTTTTAAGAACAAAATACTTTTGTTAAGGATTCATTATTTCAACTTCTTTGTTATAAATGATTGAAAAATACATATCTTAGAAATTTGAAAAGAAAAAAGTGATATGGGATGTACCTGTTTCTGGTAAAAACATTTCTTGTACCCCTCACCCATTTTCTCAAAAAATTGGCTAAAAAGACTGACTTGATTGGTAATAAAATTTAAAAAATGTATTACTCAGAAACTACTTATTGTAAATACACAATTTTTTCACTGAGTTCAGTTTGATTATGATATTTATTAAATTCATTGCTATTTTCCACTTGTATCACAAGTTTTGGAAATAATTCCAGAACGAGATTTCAACGAGACTGAAACGTCAGAAGGATACATTCTTAATTGATGGGAACAAAATTTTGTAATCATTGTGTTCCAAAATTGCCATCCTTTGTATAATACAATCCATCCTTCATAAAAATATTACTTTTTTACTATGCGACTATAAGATTTACATTATAAAGTTCAAATATGGTCAGTTTTGGTTGATGCTGAGAAATAATTTTGTTATATGAGTCAGTCACAGGTATGAAAACACTGAAATTTGTTTATGGTTCAATATTTTGAATAAAAAGAGGACATGCTGGCACCCTTAATTGATGCGAACAAAATTTTGTAGTCATTGTAGTCATTGTGGTCATATATTGCTGTTATTTGTATTATACAGTCCATCCTCGAATTAAAAATTATAACTGATTTAATATGGTCAGTTTTGGTTGATGCAGACAAATAATTTTGTTAATCAAGTTAGTCTGAGGCATGAAAACTACTGAAATTTGTTAAGGAATCATTATTTTGAATATAAAGAAGACATGCTGGCATTTTAAATTGATGCTAACAAAATTTTGTAGTCATTGTGGTCATATATTGCTGACATTTGTATTATACAGTCCATCCTGACATAAAAATATAACTAATTTACTATGAGACTTTAAGATTAACATAATAAATGTAAATATGGTCAGTTTTCGTTGATGCAGACAAATAATTTTGTTATTTGAGTCAGTCTGAGGTATGAAAACACTGAAATTTGTTTGTCATTCAATATTTTGAATAAAACGAGGACATGCTGGCACTCTTAGATTTACATTATAAAGTGGAAATATGAACAGTTTTGGTTTGTTGCGGAGAAATAATTTTGTTATACGAGTCTGTC